TAGAAGACACTATCTTGCAGTACAGCACTGGTTCTCTGGTTTTTATAATTTTCATTCCCTCTTCCAAAATGGTGCCCTAGGCTTGGATATAGTGGTTGCATTGAAGATACAACAATTGGGACTGGACACACCACAGTCACATGTTCTCTGAATCTTGGTCAGTTGTGGATCTCTGTAAGAGTTTTCATCTGTTGCCAAAAAAAAAGGTTCTTTTTTTGAGTAATGAGAGCTATATTTTCTCTGAGTATACAATTAGAAATACAAGTAGAAACTATGCTAGTTTAGGAAAATGGCAGTAGTAGGTTCTCCTTTAGGGCATATGACTGGCTAGGTTTGCAGGACAAGGCATGAGTTCTTTCCTATTGTTTTAGATGTAAGTGCAATTAGCCAGCTGTTGGCTACTCCCAAGATATAAATGTGACTATTGCACTAATGGGGATACCTTCCAATCTCTTGTCATTGTTGTGGTTCATAAATTTTACAGTGGGGTATGACTATTGTTCGTTTTTCTCCCCTTTCTTCCTGCATAGCACCTTCCCATACTGAGGGCTAGTCCCCAACGTGGGGGCTTCTGAGTCAGATTTAGCTCAATTCTCCCAAGTCCTATGTCTGAAATGTATGGTGTCTTCACCAATAGAAACTTACCTTCAAGTTCTATGAGGAAACCAAGAGCACGGGTAATAGCCTGTATTGTTTTTGGAGTCTTTTTGACTCTATTGACCAACTAGTTGAAGGGAGATTTCCCATAACTGACACCGGGATTTTTGTTGAGTAGTCTATGGCTCTTGTGAGAAGTATTCATACCATGTTTCATAACTCTATCACATATACTCATATATACTATATATGTATTTATAAATATGATTATGAAATAATGTGTTAGCCTATGGCCTTTTCAAGCGTCCTGAATTTTATTGATCACTGTTTCATCCCTCTTTCTCTGTATTGCCCTCATCCCTCCCCAGTTAAAATCCTCCCCGTTTTTCCCTTTTCCTCCTTCATAGTATTTGTGCCCTAGTGTCCAAGAAAATAACTGCAAGAAATGCTGGTGAGGACGAAGACAGTCAGATATCAAAGACAATCTTTCCTCCATTGACTACTCTTTGTGTATTGAACAGTTATGTGACATGCCCTTTCATCTAGGTCTTGAGGGACAACATCTGATATAACATATGAATATCAATACATTTATTACATAAAATAGGTAAAATTCCATGTGTTACAATTACAAAGAGATATTCCTATTGCAGATAATTCTTATTAGAGCCTTCTTCATGTCTCTGTTCCTCAGGCTATAGATGAAGGGGTTCAGCATAGGAGTCACCACTGTATACATCATAGCCATGACAGTCTCCTTTACAGTAGAGTTATTAGCTGATGGACAAAAGTATACACCAATAACTGTCCCATAGAACAGAGACACAACAGACAAGTGGGATCCACAGGTGGAGAATATCTTATGGATACTCTGGGTAGAAGAAACGTTGAGAATGGAGGAGACAATTTTTGCATAGGACATAACAATGAGTAGGAATGGTACAATAATGATGGGTCCTCCCATAATAAATATCATTAACTCAATAACATAAGTGTCTGAGCAGGCCAGCTTCAGGAGTGCAGTTATGTCACAGAAAAAGTGGGGGATCACATTGTTCTCACAAAAAGACAATCTAGTCATGAGTAGGGTGTGCATCATGGCATTAAATATGGCCAACATCCACAATGGCATCAATATACTGGCACAGAACTTTGGGCTCATGATGCTGATATAATGAAGGGGGAAACAGATAGCTACATAGCGGTCATAGGCCATGGCCACAAGAAGCAAGCTCTCCATATCTCCAAAGACCATAAAAAAGTATGTTTGTGTCAGACAACCCACATAGGTGATGGATGGGTCCTGACTCTGCATGTTCTGCAGCAATTTGGGCATTGTGACAGAGGAGAAGCAGAGGTCAGAGAAGGACAAGTTGCTGAGAAACAAGTACATGGGAGTGTGGAGATGGGAGTCCAGTAGAATGAGGATGATGATCATGAGGTTACCCATGACAGTGGTGAGGTACATGGCCAGGAACAGGGTGTAGAACAAGTGCTGGTGCTCTGGGGAGATGGGCAGGCCCAGAAGGAGGAAATGGGAGATGACACTTTGGTTGTTTCCAGACATGATCTGCCTCCAATGACTTTAAGAAAAATAACAGTTTTATAAACTCCCAATGGTTGAATGTATGTGAGTTCATAGACCAATTCTAGTCTTTTTCTCATTTCCTTACTTTAGAAAGAATTCTTCATTTTTTATATTCTTTATTTTTTATAATTTTTGCTTCACTCAAGTATAGAATAACCTTGATACCTTAACTTCTCCAGTTGTCCCTGGTAACAGATGCATACAACCCCAGTCCTTTATACTCTGCTCACAACCCCACCAATCCATCTCCATGACATAATGTAAACAGTCGTTTCTATTACACACATGGCAGGTTGCAAGTTCTACAGTAGTTAATCTTACTGTCATCAAAATAACTATAATCTCTACATCCAAATATGTTCACTCATTATTACCATGAATGGATTTTTTAACATTACTTTAGCATATTCTAATAGTCTAGTATTGTCTAATGACTCCTTATTACTTCTGATACACAAAATGTATTGACATATCTCTTTCCTGCCTACCTACTTTTACTAGGCAACTGTGGTTCACAGTTTTATAGATTTACTCTGTGAATTTTCTTGAAGGATTTTTTGTACATCCAATCCTCATAATTCTATATAAGCCCCAAGATAAACACAAATACTTTAATGTGCCAGAGTACCATTTAAAAGTCAGGTGTAGCTGTCTCTTTAATCTACAGAATTCACTACCTCATTGCTGAATAATCATCTTCCTTGTTTTTCCCCCCACAGGTATTGAAGGCTCAATACATGCCAATAGTAGTTTACTCCTTCTTCTCCCAACATCTTTCTCGCATGTCTCTTATTTCTCATAATGTAATAAGAGGAATTCAAGAGGCATAATATTTATTTTACACATCATTTTTCCTTACCTTGAACTCTATCACATCATTTAGATGCTCATCTTCACCTTCCTTTAACCAGTCATTTAAAACCATTCAATCATATTCTTAGAATTGGAGGCCACTGTTTCTTGTCTGAAATATTGAAGTCAGCATTCAATTCCAACCCATGTCCCATGTCTCAACAGTATTATCTTCAGTATGTTTAACCCACAGTGGCATTCTGAGATGGAAATACAGTCCTCTCTTTCCTGATTCATTCTTCAGATGACTATCTTGTTCTTAATGACAAAATTCCTTTCATTTGCACAATCAGTACTTGCTTACCTGACTTGTACCAACTTCTACAGTCCAATACGGCCTTACCCAAAGCCTGTGTTCTTCTCTTTAGCAATGCTGTACTTCAGATTGAAGTTTGTGCCTCCATAATTTCTTATTTGGTATTCTCCTAGTCTACCATGCCCTCTCCTTTGTGGTGTGGCTTGTCCAACCCATCTTCCCACAATATGACATGCTATTTGCTAAGTCAACACTTTCTTGTGTTCCTACACACAATAAGACCTTCTAACATGGCCCCAGCATCTGGTACTCATCTCACAGCTACCAATGGTCCTGATCACTTGTTCACATTTATTGTTACCAGAGTGTAGATTTCATGCAAGAAAGGTCATGCTTACCCTCATACTGAAATAAGGCCAACCCTGCATGAATGTGACCCAGTGTTCACAGAGATTTCCAGGTTGTGCTGTAGACTGAGAAATCTAAGGCAGAAATGCACATTAAATCCAAATAATTGCTCTTCTTCAGTCTCCCAAGAATATAAAGTCATTAAACTTGACTTTTTACCATGAAAACATGATACTCTGTGATAAGCTTCAGAGACATCATTGTATTTATGGATAAGTTTTAGGGTGCTGAAGATGTTTTGCTCTTTAAAAAAGTACTCCTGATTCAAAACTTTTATCCTTCAATTCATATTATTCTACAGATAATGATGTAAGAAACTAATTATGATGGGTATTTTATAAAGACCAGAAAACAAACAAATATGAAATAGTATACGTGTTTAATCCTTCACTTAAGTTCATCTTCAGATATTCATATCTAACTATCTAACATGATAGTTAATTATTGTAGGAAGTGGTATAGAACTTGGTAGCAATTTTGGTCAAAGTATTGTTACAAATATTTCTATGAAGGTGTTTTGCAATGTTATTAACACTTAAATTAGTAAGTAGTATTATCAGGGAAAATAACTTTAGTCCTTCATAATGTAACAAGCCTCACATGAGCAGTTGGAAGAAAAAAGAGAAAATCTACAGTTTCTTGAGAAACATCATCCAGACTGCCTTGGATTTGACACTGTAACCTCCACTCTTCTGGGGAATCTGGTCTGCAGCTACTGTACTTACCAATTCCTAGTTATGTGGGCTATATCTTTAAAACAGATATTTGTGCTGTTCTGTTTTCTTCTAGATAATTCTGTCTAATGAAGCCCACTCTAAATCAAAGTTGGCAAAGAAGTCATGAGAAGCACCAAGACATGTGGGAAAAGAGACTGGGCATTTAGTTCAGTGGTACTGTAGCTATCTAGCATGCCCAAGGCCCTGAGTTCCACCTCTAACTGAAAAAAAAATAGAAGAAAATGAATAACACACAAAGAGATGGGGAATCCTTTCACTGACACTGTCTGACTGAGTTCAGCTGCTGGAGTCTCCATCCTGCTAATGTTCGCTTGGGCAGCTGCACTAACAGTTTAACACTTTCATGTTATTTTTGGTGACAAAGGGAAGAATAATACAGGTGAAATCATGTTCCTAGTTTCTCAGAATTATTCTTATTCTGTGAATGAGTGGAGCCCATGTCTTATGGAGGTTTATATGCAGAGATTATAAAGCAAAGTCACCTGTGAAGTTTGCTGCTGCTGACCAACGAACTTCACTTCTTCAATTAATGACCTGAATAGCAGATGAGAATCTTCTATGGATATGATTCTACCAGTTACTACACATGCAACTCAACTGGGATTCTCTGAAAACAGTGGCTCTGTTTTTGAAGCTGATAGTCATCTTTATAAATGGACACTCATGTGATGCTAATAATTTGGTTAATGTGTTAAAGTAAGGAGCAAGTTCTTTTGGATAGGAGATCTGTTCAAAGTTTACCAATGTTACAAAGCTAAATATATATTAAAAGAATGCTTAAGAACTCCTGTTGCCCTCCCTGAAAAGAGCTATTATTAGGTTAAAATGAAAAAAGACTTGCCTAGTAAGTAGTTGTAATAACCCCATCATTACCAAAATGATTATCAATGTAACTATGGAACAAGGTATTTCTACAGCATGACAAAGTATTACAAAGTACAGAAATGGCAAAGAATGTTATCATACCTGAAAACTTCCAGTCATCACAAATTTGGAAATGAAAATTCCATAATTGGAGGACAGTAAGGTATCTCCTGACAATTTATCTAGGATGACTGAGGATATATTAGGTCCCTGATTCAGATCCTGGTCACTTTTATTCATTATAAGCACAGGAAAGAACAGCCTCCGTAGTCAACACCTTCTTATATATCCCCTTCTAGCATCTCTGGACACAAAGGCTCTGCATCCCAAAGGAGTCCAGATCCTGCATTACTCATTAAGGATACAGTAATTGCCTAGAACCTATCTAGGACTAATTCTTTCAAAGCCCTGAGGTGAGGGCTGATGATGGCCACTGATCACTCCTGAACACACTTAGGGGAAGGTGAAAACAGAGAAAGTCAGATGCATAATTACCCTTTGCCTGTTCAGGTAATATTCAGGATTTATGTGTTATTCCAGCTTAGATTTTTTAGTAAGCTAATAGTGGGCTATTTGAAAACCACTGAAATAATTGTAAAAGCTTTGTGTTTAAAGCAATTGGCTGCTTTGATCTAGATTATCATTTGTGGGGATGGAGTTTCTCACAGCATTTGTTGTTACTCTCTAACTTTGCTTGGCATGTACAGCATGCCTCCTCTTTCATTTCTCATCCTTAAGACTTTTGCCCACTTCGTTTTTTTTTTTAACATTGGCTCGTGGCTTTTTAAAAAATCACTCTATTTAAAGGACCAGCTTTTGGTTTCATTGAATTATTTTGACATTTGGTTTTCAGTGTAAACTGAATCTCTCCCTGTCTCTCTCTTTCTCTCTGTCTCTTTGTCCCTGCCTCTGTCTCTCCCTGTGTGTGTGTGAGTGTGTGTGTGTGTGTTTATGTGTGTAAGTTTACTTTTCTCCACTTCTTTTGAGTTTAAGGCATTCTTCTTTTTCTAAGTTCCTAGCACAGTTAACTTTAGATCTTTTTTCTTTTCCAATGTTTGTATTCTAAGACATAAATTTCCCCTTAAATTCTAAGTTTGTTGTTTTTCCAACAATTCTGATAGTTGTCAATTTCTCTATGTCAAATTCAAAATAAATTTAGGTCTTGGAAACCTAACTCTCTTATCATGGTGTAGCAAAGAAGAACAAGAACCAAACTATTTACATATTTCAGAGTATGTGATAAAGCTATTCATAGGCAACATAATAGTTCATGCAAAATTCCAGAACCTTGAAAAAGGGTTCTAGAACTACTAAGCTAGCAACATCACAGGATACAAATCTGGAAGTACATTTTGAACTATTTCTCAATCACTAAATAGCTTGTTATTAACTTTCTGACATACATTAACTTCTCCCTCACGCAGGGAAATATGTTCCAATGCCTCAGAAGATGCCTGAAAACAAAGTTCGTACAAAAATTTTATATTGTGAGGTTTTCTTCCACAAATGTTTGTATATGGTAAAGTTTCACTTGCAAATTAGGCACACTAAAGACTAACAGTAACTAATAATAACAATGGTTATAGTAATTTACCATAGCTAAAGCCATCTGATGACTCTACATTTCCCTCTCAAAAAAATATTTCACTGTATTACCCTCACCTTTCTACTTTTGGTCATGAGGACTATTATAATGCCTATGCAGCAGGAAATAAGGTGAAGGACACAGGCAGTGTAGTACAGCTGTAGGCTGCTCTCTAAGCTTTTTTGAAGATTTACTTTTCACTTCCTGTATAAGGCTTCACAGCACAAGAGTGCATTTGATTCTCAAGATGGCTAAAGAGCACCTCACAAGGAGGGCAGATGATAGAATGTGGAAATGCTAGATGAGATGATTATTCAGATCTCTTGTCGAATGGAGACTGAGGGCACTCAGTTTTCATCATTCTGCATGGGGTGACATATCATTTAAAACTGAGAACTAATAATCTCTGGCATTTTCCATTTAATAAATTCAGACTTCACCTGAGTAGAGGTAGTTGAAACTGTCTTTATTAAGGACAAATCAGAGGTGGAAGTCTCTAAAACGCACTATATACCTATCTGAAGTTGTCAAAGAAACAGTTTATTTTGGCTCATGACTTGAGAGTTTAGGTCCACCAGGGCAAGAAGGCACGACAGCAGAAATATCGGGTAACTGGTCATATTGAATCCACAGGCAGTAAACACAGCGGTTGAAGGTTGGTATTATATCACCTAGTACTATATGTGTAAAATCTATTTTTTACAAAACTGTAAAAATACAAATTAAAGTGTTATGTCAGGTGTTCAGTTCACACGGGTCCGCGGAAAAATCAGAGTCACTGTAGGATGACTTTTAGCCTTTGCAGCTGCAGGGCAATCAGCTTCTGGTGAACTGACTGACTGTAGATTTGCAAAAGGCTTTTTTATTGTTTTACAATTTACACCTTTAGCAAGTCAATTTCTGCATACCAAAACCTCTTATCCGAAGCTCCCCAAAGAGACAAATGCCAAAGCAATTCCCAGTCACAGGACATCTCTGAGTTTTCATCATACTGCATGGGGTGACATATTTTCTGAGTCCTCCCACAACCAAGTTTTGCATAGACAAGTAAAATGACTCCTAATGATATCCATCTATACTTATAGATCAGTGTCTTATTTGGTCATCATCAGAGAAGCTCCTTTCTGCAGCAGATAGGAACCTATGATGAGACTCATAGTCAGACATTGCTTAGAGGGAGAATCCTTTCAGCACACAGCTATAAATGAGATGTCTCCATCAAATACCTCCTCTCAGAGATCAGGAAATCCACCAATGAGGAAGCAGAAAGAATGTAAGAGCCAGAGGGGATTGAGGGTACCAGAAGAACAAGGCCCTCTCAATCAACTGAACGCTCATGTGAGCTCACAGAGGCTGAAGCAGCCATCACCAGGCAAACAGGTCTGCACCAGGTCCTCTGTATATATATTATAGTTTTCAGCTTAGTATTTTTATGGGACTCCTGAGAGTGTGAATGAGTGGGTCTCTGACTCTTGTGCCTGCGCTTGGGGCTCTTTCTGTTGGGCAGCCTTGTTCAGCCTTAACATGATGGTCTTTGTTTTGTTTTGTCAAAAAAATCAGATAACAGTTAGATATTCTCACAACGTTTGTGCCACTATTACAGCAGCATATCATGAAGGCAGATCACCATTGTACATCAAAGCCTTTAGGGCTGAGTTGCTGTGTACATTCCTCTCTGGTAGTTTGCAGGGTACCTTCTAGTACCATGAACATATTCAGTATGGGTAATGGCTCTAGTTAGGCACCAGCTTGATTCTCCATGAGATATGTTGGTGTTGTTATCAGCAACAGGTCATTACCATCAGTTTGTAGAGAAAACTCCAGTAACCTGAAAGGGTTACATCTAATAGAGTTATTGGCTAAAGGGGCACCATGGGAAACCTTGAAACAACCCAGGATATTGTGCTCTCTAAAGACTGATGGTACAGACATAGTCTTCTAATTATGGTGCAAAAAAAAATCTATATACAGAAAAAGAATCCCAGTCCACCTGTCTCATTGTTTAAAATAATTCTTTCAAGGAGGACAACAGGATTTAGTATTTGCCTAAGTGTTGAGGAAATCTCCTTTCTCTGTGATCCTGAGAGGTCTCAATGCAAAAACTGAAAAGCGTCTTCAGAAAGATGGAGATGAAGTGCTGTCAAGTTCACCTAGTTAAAGTATAGTACTAGCTCTGCTGCTGTGGCTGAAATAAGGTTTGTGACAGAGGACCTACAGTAGCAAATAAAGTGTATGTGCTTCCCAAAGGGTGTGTTCTTCTGTGGGGGAATGTGGCAACAATTTCACTGATATGGAAGTTGAGGATACTATTCAACCATGTCTGTTCCTTTCATCAGTTTTTCCACTGTGTGTCTAAAGAGCTGAAATAAATTTCTTAAAGGAGGAAAGGGTTGTTCTAGTCATGATTTCAGATATTTCTGTCCATGACCACTTGGCTTAACATCTCTGATCTCACATTGAGGTGATACATCAATAGAAGGATATGGGAGAAGAAAGGTGTTCACCTTATGGTAACCAGAAAGCAAAGAAAGAAAGATGGAGCAACAGAAACAAGTATACCCTTGAAAAGCATGCTTGTGATCTACTTCCTCCAAATAAGTCCACACTCTATTTTCTTCAATCTCTACATAATGACATCATATTATGACCCCATCACTGGATGGATCCATTGGCTAGGTCAGGGTTATAAAGATCCTATCACATCGGCAAAGGCTTCTGAACACTGTTTTTGGAACTAGACCTTCAACACACAAGTTTAAGGAAACATTTCATAACCAAAGCTTAATATTTGTGTAAAATACTATATAAAGAGCAGAGTTGCCGGGCGGTAGTGGTGCACGCCTTTAATCCCAGCACTCGGGAGGCAGAGCCAGGCGGATCTCTGTGAGTTTGAGGCCAGCCTGGACTACCAAGTGAGTCCCAGGAGAGGCACAAAGCTACACAGAGAAACCCTGTCTTGAAAAACCAAAAAAAAAAAAAGCAGAGTTGTCATTCTGTGTGGGATGAATGATACTTAATACTAAAGAAGATCTTGAGTTTTATATACAACTGGAATAGAGAACTGAGCTTAGAATACTGAAGAATTTATGGCTACCTCACAGTATTTCCATGTACAAAGCTAAATGTTAATACAATCTATAGTGATCTAATGATTGTAAGATCAACAAATATGTAGATTTCCTGGGAATGAAAGTTTTCAAACTATCACTATTTACAGCATCTGAGCCAGATAATGAGAGCCAAGTGCAAGGAACAGGTACTGAAATCAGAATTACAAATGTCACCTATGGTTCTGTGGCCAATGGTACGATTATGATAATGGGATATGCTGTTAAGTTTCACCTAGAGAGGTAAGGAGCCAAAGGCTTTTTAAAGATAATGCCCCAACAAATAATTGAACATGAGTTGAGAGAGTTATTTTTTCTTATTTATTGGCATAGATGTAAAATTAGCTCAAATACACTTAATCTTCATTAGTAGTGTGTGTATCTCTCCCTAGGGCCTGTGTACAGCAGGTTGGGTTGTATTGAGATTAGGTCACATGGGAATATTTCCAAAGCATGCACTTCTTGTGGTAGTATGCTGCCATAAAATTTGATTGATTCTAGTGTGAATTATTATAAGTCTAATATTTTTTAAATCATGTACATTATGGTGCTTAAGTACTTTATGAGTCTCGTAACTGCACCTTTTAACCCTCCATAAAGTAGGTTCTAGGTATGAATGGTTCCTGCCAATCCCCAATGGAACCAATGACTACATGTCCATCTGTGAGTTTCATGCCAATTCCACCTTCCCCCAAACAAAACTAGATGTGATCAGGGCTGTATCAGTCATGATTACAGGACTCTTAATTGGTCCTAGAAAATTCCTGACTAATTAATTTGTCTTTATGGAGTGATTTTAGGGTCTGGACTCCTCTGGGAGTGAGTTCCCTTAGGCCCAGGAATGAATAGAATGGAAGATATGAGCAGGGATGGTACACAGATCATGACCATAGAAGCATTACTTCATTAGCCTGCAATTAATAAAGGGGTTGGCTCAGGCTTGGGTCTTAGAGTCACTTGAAGACATTCTTGGTGAGTTAGGAAGGGTAACGACTAACCAACTTCTAATGTCCTTCTAACCCAAAGGTCTAGTTTTCCAGGTTGTATAATTTCCTACAGTGTTGTATTTTACATGTGACAACTTCTCTCTTCTATGCCTCGCTGTCTTTCACGTCCTGCTAACCCTCTACAAGCATTTTCACTATTGTTTTCCAGGTACTTTGTTGATGATAATATTCATCAATTTCACTGCACACTACATTCTTGCAAGATTCTATCACATCAGTGTAATGCCAGCTCTGTGATCCATACAGGCTTGATGGAGTCATTCTTAAACTTTGTTTTATTTTAAAAGTAACTGAAGAGATAGATCTCCTCCTAAGAATGGTACTTTAATTTTTCTGAAGAACCTAATAATGGATAAATTTAAAGGTAGCACAGTCCATTTACCACAGCAACTGACTTTCTGTGGCTGTTAATTAAAAATGAAAATTAGAACTGAAGGAAAACAGGCAATATTTGAATAAGATACCCTGCTGGTTTTCACTCACTTTAAATTTTAGAAGCACCATCTTAGGTGATT